ATTAGGGCCCTATCTTCAGCCTCCTCAAAAAAACAATTATCAGCCAAGAAATTTGTATCCAGTGAAACTAAGCATCATATAAGAGGAAAGATAGTTTTTTTCAGACAGACAAATGCTGAGAGAATTTGCCACTACCAAGCCACCGCTATAATAACTGCTAGGCCAGGTACAGTGGCTCACGCCTGTAATCCTAGCACTTTGGGAGGCTGAGGCAGGTGGATCACCTAAGGTCAGGAGTTCGAGATCAGCTTGGCCAACATGGTGAAACCCCATCTCTACTAAAAATACAAAAATTAGCTGGATGTGGTGGCAGGCACCTGTAATCCCAGCTACTCAGGAGGCTAAGGCAGGAGAATCCCTTGATCCCGAGGTGGAGGTTGCAGTGAGCCGATACTGCACCACTTCACCCCAGCCTGGGTGAAAGAGCGAAACTCCATAAAAACACAAACAAACAAAAAGTAAAAGGAGTTCTAAATCTTGAAACAAATCCTGAAAACACATCAAAAACAGAATCTCTTTAAGGCATAAATCACACAGGACCTATAAAACAAAAATACAATTTAAAAAGCAAAAACAAAACAAACAAAAAAATCCAAGGTATACAGGCAACAAATAGCACCATGAATGCAATGGTACCTCAAATCTCAATACTAACATTGAATGTAAATGGTATAGATGCTCCACTTAAAAGATACAGAACAAGAGAATGGATAAGAACTCACCAACCAACTATCTGGTGTCTTTCAGGAGACTCACCTAACACATAAGGACTCACATAATCATAAAGTAAAGTAAAGGAGTGGGAAAAGGCGTTTTACACAAATGGACACCAAAAGCAAGCAGGGGTAGCTATTCTTATATCAGACAAAACAAACTTTAAAGCAACAGCAGTTAAAAGAGACAAAGGACATTATATAATGATAAAAGGCCTTGTCCGACAGGAAAATATCACAATCCTAAACATATATGCACCTAACACTGGGGCTCCCAAATTTATAAAACAATTACTAATAGACCTAAGAAATGAGATAGACAGCAACACAATAGTGGGGGACTTCAATACTACACTGACAGCACTAGACAGGTCATCACAACAGAAAGTCAACAAAGAAAAAATGGATTTAAACTATGCCTTGGAACAAATGAACTTAACATATATACCAGAAATTTCATCTAACAACTGCAGATACACATTCTAATCAACAGTGTATGGAACTTTCTCCAAGACAGACCATATGGAAGGCCATAAAATGAGCCTCAAATAATTTACGAAAACTGAAATTATATCGAGCATTTTCTCAGACCACAGTGAAATAAAACTGGAAGTCAACTCCAAAAGGAGACTTCAAAAACATGAAAATACATGGAAATTAAATAATGTGCTCCTGAATGATCATTGGGTCAAAAATGAAATAAGATGGAAATTAAAAAATTCTTCGAACTGAACGACAATAATGACACAACCTATCAGAACCTCTGGGATACAGCAAGGGTAGTGCTAAGAGGAATACTCACAGCCCTAAATACCTACATCAAAAAGACTGAAAGAGCACAAACTGACATTCTAAGGTCACACCTCAAGGAACTAGTGGAACAAGAACAAACCAAACCAAACCCAGCAGAAGAAAGGAAATAACCAAAATAACCAAAGCGGCATTAAATGGAATTGAAACCAACAAACAACAAAAAAATGCAAAAGATAAATGAAAACAAAAACCTGGCTCTTTGAAAAGATAAAATTGATACACCATTAGCAAGATTAATTAAGAAAAGAAGAGAGAAAATCCAATAACCTCATAAAGAAACAAAATGGAAGATATTACAACTGACACCATTGAGATACAAAAGATCATTCAAGGCCACTATGAACACTTTTACACAAACTAGTAAACCTAGGAGAGATGGATAAATTCCTGGAAAAATACAACCCTCCTAGCTTAAATCAGGAAGAACTGGATACCTTGAACAGATCAATAACAAGCAGCAAGATTGAAATGGCAATTAAAAAATTACCACCAATAACAAAAAAGTCCAGGACCAGATGGATTTACAGCAGAATTCCACCAGACATTCAAAGAAGAATTGGTACCAATCCTTTAGACACTATTACACAAGATAGAGAAAGAAAGAACCCTCCCTAATTCATTCCATGAAACCAGCATCACTCTAATACCAAAATCAGGAAATGACATAACCAAAAAAGAAAACTACAGCCTGATATCCCTAATAAACATAGATGCTAAAATCCTTAACAAAATACTACCTAACTTAATCCAACAACATATCAAAAAGATAATCTACTATGATTAAGTGGGTTTCATACCAGGGATGCAAGGACAGTTTAACATACACAAGTCAATAAACGTGATATACCACATAAACAGAATTTTAAAAACAAAAATCACATAATCATTTCAGTAGATGCAGAAAAAGCATTTGACCAAAATCCAGCATCCCTTTATGATTAAAACTCTCAGCAAAATTGGCATACAAGGGACAAACCTCAATGTAATAACAGCCATCTATGACAAGCCCACAGCCAATATAACACTGAGTGGGGAAAAGTTGAAAGCATTCCCTCTAAGAACTGGAACAAGATAAGGATGCCCACTCACCACTCCTCTTCAACATAGTACTGGAAGTCCTAGCCAATGCCATCAGACAAGGGAAAGAAAGAAAGGGCATCTAAATTGATAAAGAGGAAGTCAAACTGTCACCGTTAGCTTATGATATGATTGTTTACCTCGAAAACCCTAAACACATTCCCTCAATAATATATGCAGAAAACAGGTTATATTCGCATAGACTATGTTTCCACAGGCAAGGACTATGTGCCATGGGTTTTATATTCTGAAAGCGTCCAGTCACAAGTCCTTTCCCAGAGCATTTTAAGCTCTAAGAAAGAGAGGGGAAGGTGTCATTCTGAATACACATTCCACTGCTAATTTGGAAGTAATATGGTGATTATGAAGGTAAGCAGAATTCAGATTGTTTAGGTTTGAATATGTTTCTGCCTCTAACTAGCTGGCTGTGTGATGATTTGTGGTAAGCTTCAGCTGTCTCCTTTAAAGGTTGGAATTAACAATAGCATTCACTTCATAGGACTGTTGTATTAAAAGATATAATGTCCAAAAAGCTCCTGGCACAGTGCCTACTGTACAGTAAACACTCACTAATGTTGTCTATTGATAATACCAGTCTAAATAAGTAACAATGGCATTATTGTTCAACCTAAATTTTTGCTGCAGATTTTCTTTAAATGACTGAAGAGTTTAAAAAAGACTTTATATCTCTATATTATTGATAATGTATCAGACAATGTTCTAGGCATGTTATGTATATTAATCCATTTAATCCTTACAAGAACCTTATGAGGCAGATTTCACTTTCTGAGCCATTTTGAGGCTCAGATAATTAAAATGGCTTGCCTGAGGCCACACAGCTATAACAGGCAGGGTTGTGATTTGAATCAGGCAATCTGTTCCAGAGAATGATGCTTTTAATCATGATAATATACTGTAATAAGGTAAAGTATACTTATAATAGACTATAATAATAATAATAGCCACCATTTTGGAAATCCTAATATATGTTATGTATTAGAACATTTTGGTGCATTATCTCTAACTTTACAATTATCCCATATTGTGGGTACCATTATCCCATTTTACAAATGAGTAATTAGACTCACAGAAGTTAAATATCTTGCACTAAGTCACATAGTTAATGAGTGCCAGAGCCTACATGCAACTTTGTTGTGTTCTCTGAAGCTTGAAATTGTTCCATTACAGTAAGTCCTCACTTAATGTCAGTGATAGGTTCTTGGATACTGTGACTTAAAGCAAAACTACTTATAGCAAGTTCTCAAATAATGTCATTATAATGTTGATGATAAAAAAATTGGTTTAATTATACATCATTCTGCTTAAATTTGGGGTGTCTAAGAATCCGACAACATTAAGTAAGGACAGTATACCACACTGCTTCTAAGTATAGATCCTGATGAAAGGCAAGTAGCCCATTGGTTTTAGTTGTTTCAAATGACAGGCAGGAAAGTGAAAATGGGTGAGCCTAAGACAATCTAAACACTATAATGCCATCACTTATTCATTCATTTAACGAACATTTGTTGAATATTTTCTATGAACCAAGCCCTAGGAGGGATGCCAAGGATTTAATGATGAATAACACAAACAGGGTCTTTCTCTTAGAGCTTATAAATGAGTACTTGAGAGAGTGACTTAATAAACGAACAATGTAATAACTACTTCAAGGATTACTTAGAGTCTAGATGTCAGTTAGAACTGCCAATCCCTTTCTGCCTCCCCATTCAATGCTAACTAGACAAAAAACTAGTTAGGAATATTGCTGGCACACTACTCTTTCCTAAATACTTCTAGCTACTTACTAAGTATTCTTATCTTCTCTTCCATGCAGAGAGACAGTGCTATGGAGAAACTTCAAATCTAACCTCTCACTTCTACCCTATAAAGGTCAGAGGAAGATTTTCGGCTCTCAGATATAGCTGGCTTTGCATCTGAGCATGATAATAAAGAATTATATGTCAAACACCTTTCTAGTTGCTAAAGGATAGATATTACTGTAACATAGTCCCTGGTCTCAAGGAGTTTATTTATTTATACTAAAAACTATTCTGTGGATCATGTAAAAATAAACAAACAATAAATAAAAGCCTCCTATATTATTCCCAGGGATATCCCAGAAATGGACTATGTTTTGTACCGATATTGGGACTTACTCTCTGATAAGTTATTTTTCTTCCTTGAGCCAGGTATTTATCAAAGGAGTTGACAGTAACTTAAAACTTTTCTCTAATAATAGATGATTAGCAGTGAAATCTGTTCTGGGATTTACAGAGGAACCAACCCATAAGAGAATCTAATGTCCTGGTTTGGTAAATTTGGCCACTGCCCTTGAGCCACAGGAAATCTACAGTGTGCACTTCTATTTCCTCTCTCACTTACAGACTTTATTTTTACCTTTTGGAGACTACGATTAACCTCGATAAGCACTTCTGACATGATGGATATATAAAACTTGAATTCTGGAGAGCAAGTACTGAGGCAAGAAGAAATTTTCTTCTTCTATTCATATGTTCACACTGTGGCCTGTAGTACCAGCTACTGTGGAGGCTAAGGCAGGAAGATCACTTGATCCCAGGG